TATACTTACTATATATATAAATGTTTTTTTGCAGAACAAATAGACTAAATGAAGAGAAGAGTGACGAGTGGCAATAGCAAATAGCAAAAGATATACCTGAATTACAAGAAATTAAACACATTACAGCGACCGTAGCAACGAAAACCACGGCCGCGGCCGCGACCACGATTTTGAATCCATGTCAATCGTTTTTTTCCGCCTCTTGTTCCTCTTTTTCCTAAAAAAAAATATATATATGAAAAAGAAAGAGAGAGAGACAGAAAGAGAGAGATGTATAAGTATGTGTTGTGGTACTTACGCTTATTTTCTTGTAGGCCTTTATTATTATCTGGAGAATCTTCTTTCTTTTTCTCTGCAACAAAAATATATATAGATTATATAAAAAAAAGAACACATATATATGTAAATAATTGTTATTACATACGCTTTTCTGCAAACTTGTCAGTGCTATCTTCACTTAGTCTTTTTTCTGCAATAAATATATTATATATATACAAAATAAACAGAGAAAGAGAGAGATAAATATAAACAATGTATATGATTTGTTGGTACTTACGTTTTTGTGAAGAACTGGCTTGTGAGGTGGTTGGTTCTATTGTTTCTTTTCTCTCTTTTTCCAGTTGTGAATATTTCATTTGCAACGTTTTTAACTGTTCCATTAGTTTACGATTTTCAAGTTTAAGATTTTTGTCCAAATTCATTTCTTGTATCTGTTCCTCGAAGTCGGCCTCGAATTCCTCGATATCCATTTCCTTACTCATTTCTGAAAATCAAAAAGTTTACAATTTACAATAAATAATATTGTTAATAACAATTTAATGTAATAATATACTTATTTTTTTATATACTTACTTATTTGTAATTGTAGACCGTTGTGGTGATACTGTGACAGTTCCCGCGTGTTCGTTTGTTTCTTTGCATAGTAGCGCTCGTTGATTNGTTATTTAATATAAGATCAATCTGATTGGTTGGTTACCTAGGGGAAATCACTCTGTGTTGTAGGTAGTCTATAAGACATAAATAATGATGAACATGGCTGCGTTCCAAGTTACGCATATGCGCGCATTTATCTGTTCTGTGCTTCGGCCTTAACTCGGAATGCAGTCCATGTTCCACAATTGANTGTCNAATCTTNAAAAAGTGACTTTATATGTTATGTATATAGTAATANATGACATTTCTTTATTAAGTGGTATCGCATTGTTCTNGTANGTTTTTTTTATATTTTACNTTAAATAACTTTGTAGTGTGCATNAATAAACAAANTTATTATCTTTCCACAGGTAGTACACGCAGTGAGAGTGCAGTGAGAGTGCTATTTACTTTATATTGTGCATTTTTCTTGCTTACGTGGTTAGTATTTTTT